TATCGTCCTTCCGGAGAACGATCATGAGTGGCGAGGAAGTGTCGCTCGCAACGCTCTTCCTCGTCGGTAAGTGGAGGGGGGAGCGTGACCTCCTCGTCCTCCCAAAATCGCTTGAGAAGCGTATTTGTGTCTTGAGTAGACACGTTATGACATACTCCTATGTGTGCGGACTCACCCCGGCCGCGACCCGCGGGGCCGGAAAGAATCCAACCTAACGCTGTCAGCTGAGCGGTAGGCGTGCCGATAGGGCCTTGCCGGAGGCCATCCTTCAACAACGAACCGTATAAGTCGGGACCGATCAACAAGTGAACTCGGTGTCGACTTGACGGATCTGGATCGGCGAATGAAAGGCCATGTAAATGTGACCATGACTCGAAGGGCTGAATCTGCGACGCCGCGTACGAAGTAATGCTTTGAAAAACGTAGGAGTGCAGCGGGAAGCCTGGTCCCGAACGGGCGCACGGCGTCAATGTCAGCATGACGCGTGATTTCGCGCAGCCCGTATACTTCTCGCCGAAACAAGTAACTTGAAGATTCGAGCGTTGTCTTTTCGTACGCAACGTTTGACAGAGAGCTTGCGAAATAAAACTAAACGTGGATCCCTGATCCAACAGAGCGCGCACTTTAAAACTTCGACCTTCGACCGTGTGAACGTCCACCCAGGCCGTCGCTAGGAGGACGTTCGTGTGAACCGTATCCGCGGGGGGAACGGTCTGTACTTTCGCGACGTGATTGCTGCTCGCAGCGACGGGCGCGTTTGACGCCGCGGGAGTGAACAGTTGCGCTTCCGCTCTTATCCTCGACGAGTTTTCCGCGACATCGGTTTCGTATCGTTCGCGAAATGTAGCAGCGTATGATGCGAACGACGACAGTGCGAGCATCGAGATTTGCTTGTGCATTGTTGAAGGAAGTGCCCGGATCTCAGGCAGTTCAAACAAAGTTTGTTCTGACGCGCATAATCGCCTCGCTGCGCGACCGTCTTACTTAGAAACTTGTCACATTTTAAAACGGAATTATTGCCGGAGCAGAAAACGCATCTGAATGCGGTGACATTATTAACGGACGGGCGCGTCCTATCGTCCCTGAAGCGACGAGTTTCCTTTTGGGAATCGGCAAGATCGGATAAACCGCGAATACGCATAGTCAAGAATTCGTTGAGGTTCTTGTAAGACGGAAGCTCGGCGAATTCCGTGCGTTTTAAGTTCCACTCGTTTCGCGTGCGAGGACTGAATTTCTGGGACATAATGTAAACAAGCAGGTCGTCCCACGTATCGACGGGACGTTCGAGGTTCTTCAACGCGGCCAACGATGAAGCCACGGCGTGCAGTTTTCGCAAATCGTTCACATTTTCCGTCTTCATTATCGGCAAATGCGCGAACGCGTGCAGATGAGTGTATACGAGAGTCTGTTTGTCGTCGTATTCCTCTATCAGCAATTGCCACGCCGACTCGTAATTCGCCTCGGAGATTTTCAAATTGCTAATCATAATCGCGGCGTCGCCAGTAACGCTTGTTTTCAGATAATGGAATTTTTGAGTATTGGAAAGCGTATCGTTGCAGGCGACAAGAGACTCAAACATGTTACGGAAGTTTTCCCAGTCCGTAATTTTCCCGGAAAATTTAGGCAAGGCGATGCGTGGCAATCGAGATAGATGAAAGTTTGAGTCGCGCGCGGCCGAATCGTCGGAACGCTCGGTTAGCGAAGAGT